GTACAGCGCCATGAATGCTGAAGTAGCTGCTAGAAGTGTTGGGGCGTCAAAATCATAATTGACCCACCTCTTTTGGGGTAATGGATCTCGATCATCTTCCACTATCTTTGGGCGCTTGAGGATGGAACTAGATGCCGCAGGGGCCGGGTTATCACTCTTAGTGGATGGACCCGAAGGTTTTGTAGCATTCTTGGATAAAGCTTTGAACCTTTTGTATTTGTTTGCTGATAGGAGTGATTTGAGTCTGGTGATGCCAGAAAAGAAATGACCACTGACCTAAACCCTCGACCAGCCTAATGTCATCGGGTGTTGCTTTGCGACTATGTTGGGCTTGAAACTCCTTTTCCCATAGCTTGAGTTCGTTTCTCAACGAAGAGTATTCATCTGCCATCGGCGAGTACCGTGAAGACGGCAATTGAAAGAGATGTCGGGTTCAAGTTTGGATTAGTTAGCGGTTCAGTGGCAGACCTATTGTAGATACACGGATGTCGGCCCCAGACTCTCCTTCTTACATGGATTACCGTATATAATCAAATATCCATGGCACTGATGATTATCATGTTATTCAGGTCAAAATAGAAAGCAAACTTGAGGTGACGACAGATGTTAATTATTATTTGACAACTACACTGCATACATTAAGACATGCAATACCCAAAAGAGGTGGGTCAATTATGATTTTGACGCCCCAACACTTCTAGCAGCTACTTCAGCATTCATGGCGCTGTACCTATTGAAGTAGAGTAGAAAAATTAATCCCAAGCTTAAATTTACGATCCGTTCTTTCTGTGTGACTGAGTCTTTCACTTGCCACTTTGTGCCTAATGATACCCAAAGGTGGTGAACGCGCGTCGATATTTCTTGAACGCGCATAACCCACCTTACAAATGGCTGAACCAGGAAAGAAAGCAAAAGATTACTCAGAAGAGGCTAAATCTGCTATTTCATCGGCCTGGGATGTAGGAAGGGTAAAAGCCACCCTTACACATCTGCGAGGGGTACTGACAATCCATAACAGGCATCGGGTAATTGGAAGGAATCAGCGGAGAAGCTTATGACGTTAGAAAAGCAGACCAGAAATGTACGTATGTGAAGACTTGACCCTCGGATAGATCTGGACTGAGTTGATATTAGGCTTCTGACGCGCCATCAACGACTCTACTGGTACAAGCTATATTAGGCATTGCTTATGAAAGCAAAGACTATGGATTTGTGTTAGAATGCTTGAATGCATTGTCCAAGAAACATGGCCAATTCAAAACTTCTACCACCGCGATGATAGATCTTGTCATGGGTTGGCTGCCAGCTATTAAAGAGGAGGAAGGGATAAAGGTCTGGCTAGAATGGGTAGGCGCGGTCCGTAGTGTGACGGAAGGAAAGGTATGTGGTTTCGGGACATCGAGCCATTGATCTTGATTGAGGGATTGCGTAGATATTCTTGGAAACTCCCAGAGCGCGTGTAACCCTCGCACTTGCGCTCTATCATGAAGAATTGGCCAACAAACCTACTGCAGACTCGCCCAAAGCTTCAGAGTGCTTACAAACTGCTTCAGACTTACTTCAAGAACTCCAAGTGGAGACATATTCGTCAATGGAGCTGAGAGAAAAGATCGAGATTCTCCTTGAACAAATGAGGCTGTTAATGTTAGTGGCCAAAATGAAGGACGAGCAAGCGAAGGCGACTGGAGGTCTTACCGATGGCGAAGCTGACTGGGTCAAAATGCGTGTAGGCGCTCGAAAGGTAAACGAGGGCTTCATAAATAACCCTGATAACAAGGTACGTGTTCTTCCCGGTACACGCACACTAACTACTAATGCCGCTCTTAGGATCTCAAACTCAAATACCACGAGCTAATGATTCAACACTCTTTAAGGCAATCCGCATACCTGGAAGTTGCAAAGAGTTTCTACAAGATCTGGGAGATGCCTTCGGTACAAGAGGATCAAGAAGGAGCGGCTCGACATGTGAGTGAACGCATTGTTCGACCATTCAACACAAGTTCTGACCAAATTCCAGGCGTTAGAAAATATCGTCTATTATCTGATTCTGGCACCTTATGACAATGAGCAGTCGGACATGATCAATCGTTTATTCATCGATCCTGCACTCAGCAAACCTCAACGGGAGGCTCATTAGTAAGAGCTTGAACAACTCGTCACTATGATGCTGACATTTGTTGTAGCAATCTCGTTAAACGATTCGTTACCAAGGAGTTGATGCGCTGGTCAGGAATTCAAGAATATTTTGGGCCAATCCTTTCCAATACAGAAGTCTTCAGCGGGCCCTTAGGAGAAAGGCATTATAAGGATTTGCACATGCGAGTCACAGAACACGTGAGTGGACGTCTAGCTTCCCCAAGTGCGTTCCAGCTAATTCCTACTAGAATATCCGGATTATCGCAGAATACTATTCGAAGATCTCTCTTCAAAGACTCACTGACCTTCTTGTACTCAGCAAGGAGAAGACCGAGGAGATCCTCAGTCGGCTAGTGGTCTCTGGAACGGTTTGGGCACGAATAGACAGACCAGCTGGAATAGTCAACTTCAGACAGAAAAGAAGCGCAGAGGACGTGATGAATGAATGGTCCTCTGACATGAACAAGATGTTGGGCTTGGTTGAGAAGGCTTGGATGGCCATGAATGCTGAAGTAGCTGCTAGAAGTGTTGGGGCGTCAAAATCATAATTGACCCACCTCTTTTGGGTATTGCA